AGCTGTTGCTGGCCTCAAGTGTACAGCAAAATTAAGACCAAAATGCACCTCATGACAGATAATTTCCCTTGTTTTATCAAACCCATTTATCTGCTTATTTTGTATATGTGCATGTTTATTGTAGGAGGGAGATACATAAAACTGAATTTCTTGGTGGTAAATGACCATTATTTAAACTTGCAGAAAATATTTGCAGAAAGAATAATAAAATTTTCTTATACAATTTTCAGATAGATATTACTTCTTAAGCAATTTAAGGTAATAAATGTGGGTAAATGCATAACTGCCAAGCCACTTATCAACATCATTCATTTTTGACAATTACGAAAAAATGAAAGAAAAAGGATTAGATTTATTTTTTGTACTGTTTTTTCTCTGGAAGCCAGTAACTCTGTCAGACAGATATGTATTTATTTACGTGAAGGACAAAGTGGACCCAAATTTGACCTTAAAGACTCTAATGGAGAATAACAAACTCCATAGGGATATGCACACGTTTCGAAGGTGATTTTCTTTTGCTCCTAGAAACCCCACCCTTCGAGGAGAGAGTTGTCTCAAAAACACATTTCTCTCCTTTGCGTCTGCCAACTTCCTTCTTCACTAAATACCTAGATATAAATATATTTGTAATATTAAGTAGGCTATCTGGAAACTCAGTGTGTATATGAAAAGGACAGGATTTGGAAATGAGAAGTGTGGGAATGTGGAGACTTACATCTAGTTGATGTCAGAATGAGAGGGAGAAAAATAAACCTCTTCTTCTTTGAATTCAAGCAACCTCTTTATGGTGGAGAATTGCTTGAACAGAGACCAGACAAAGCATGCGGTCTGTGTGGGATCAGGAGTGAAAGATGTGACTTTCATGGTGACTAAATAAACAAAAGCACCATTCCTTTGAGTCAGTCATGAAGACATCAAAGTGTCTTTACCAACCAGTTCTTTTCATTGCAACGGGGTCCTGCCCATTTCATGCTTTCCAATTGTAAAATAACAATTTCATACATTTCAAGGCTGAATAATACAGGAGTGATTTTCCACCTTTTGTATAGGTACGTACTTACCCCCAAACCCTCATAAACCCACTGAAAGTGAACAAGCTTCACCTGGATGAATCCCTACCACTGAACTTGATTTCACCCTGCTTCGGCCTGTTGCAACAAAACATTTGACTTCACAAGTGAAAGACAGGTGGATAACACTTGGGACACCTTGGAGGAAGAATACACTTTTCTTCTATGAAGTTAAGTGTGTTCTGCATCTGAGCATGACATATATACAACAACACCATGTGTTGGGAAAGGTGTTTCTATTGAAGTGTCATTATCTCTAATTTACAGGTGGAGGAACGGAGTTATAAAGAAACACATGGTGAACTTCCCAGTGTCAACATCGCGGTTGGCTTTGGAATCTAAGCTGTCTGGATGCCAGCGTCTGGTTCCACACCCTGAGAAATAATACAAACTCCTATTGTCCTCAATCTCTCTTCCAATGTGGGTAGCTTCCTGGAAGCAAAGCAGTTCCACTTTTACTGTTACTGGATATTATTTTAGCCATTTTGGGGCCTTTCCATTGGCCTGGACTCAAATGTGTCAAAATTAAGATTCAGAGGGCAACCTCTGAATGAATTTCATATTCTACTTTTTTCTCAGTTCCCATCTGAACATTGCCAAGATATCTGTTGAGATGTAACAAATCCACTCCAACACAGTATATAACACTAACGTGTTAGGATATTTTAGAATTGGCACTCTTTTTTTTTAAATATTCTGCTTTGAAAGAGACTCACAGATTAAGAAAAGAAACATAGGGTTGGTTGCCGGCAGGGAAGGGATAGTTAGAGGAGTATGGGACAGTCATGTACACACTGCTATATCTAAAATGGATAACTAACAATGGATAACTGTATAGCACACGGAACTCTACTCAATGTTACATAGCAGCCTGGATGGGAGGGGGTTTTGGGGGAGAATGGATACATGTATATGTATGGCTGAGGTGCTTCACTATTCACCTGAAACTATCACAATACTGTCACTTATACCCCAATACAAAAGAAAAAGTTCAAAAAAATAAAAATATTCTGTTTTGACTGTGTTTAGAAAAATACCTCAAGTCTTAAGCTGTTGATTGTAAGAAAGCAAAACTTTTAATTATTCAATGTATGCAAGGTAACATTCTCTTATTACTCATAGGATAACACTATAATGCCACCTTATTTGAATTGGACTATGGGAATTGAAGACAAAGTACCCCACAGCTTTACAGAAGGAAAGAAATATATAATTTCTTTTTAAAAAAGCAAGTGACCTCCCTCACATGTGTCAACTCTTAACATGAATATCCAGAACTCCTAAACTTCAGCAAAAGTGGTGATAAAACAAAAATTCTTGGAGTAGTTTAAAAAACAAATACTACATTCCTTCTGAACAGAAAAGCTTTTACAACTAATGTTGCAAAAAGGTTTTTACTAAACTGTCATGATTTGACAGCATCAAATTGAACATTTCTTGCTCTATGAGAAATAGCTTTCAGGATAAAACCAAGGTGGGGAAAAAGATCATTAAAATCAACCAAGCTCTTGTTTAAAAGTGATAAAAGGGAAGAGTTTAGAAAGTTAAAATCTGTCCAGTCAAAAAAGTTAGGCTATTTGCTTCTAGGAATGAACATAATCATTTAAATTCACATGTTTTAAGAAGAAAATTCTGGAATTAAAGAAGATGTACCTAAGGCTACTGAGCTTGATGTATGAAAAGTCTGATTTTTTTAGTTGGTTACTTTCTAATAATGAGACAGTCAAAGTGACTTCCAAGTCTCACTGTTGCCATCTAGTTTGGTATCAGGGGGCGCTAGAACAGGACAGGAACATGGCTGGGCATGTATCTGGAGAAAACCATAGTCCAAAAGGATGCATGGGCCCCAATGTTCATAGCAGCACTAGTCACAATAGCTGAGGTGTGGAAGCAACCTAAAGGTCCATTGACAGATGAATGGATAAATATATACAATGAAATGCTATTTGGCCATAAAAAAATGAAATAATGCCATTTGCAGCAACATGGATGGACCTAGAGATTATCATACTATGAAGTTAGAGAAAGAAAAATACCATATGATGTCACTTATATGTGGAATCTAAAATATGACACATATCATATGATATCACTTATATAGAGAATCTAAAATTAATGATACAAATGAACTTATTTACAAAACAGAAACAGACTCACAGACTTCGTAAACAAGCTAATGGTTACCAAAGGGAAAATGTGGGGAAAAGATACATTAGGAATTTGGAATTAACATATACACAGTACTATCCAGGTGGCTTAGTGGTAAAGAATCTGCCTGCCAATGCAGGAGACACAGGAGACTCAGATTCGATCCCTGGGTCAGGAAGATCCCCTGGATGAGGAAATGGCAACCCACTCCAGTATTCTTGCCTGGAAAATTCCAGGGACAGAGGAGCCTGGCAGACTAATCCATGAGGTTGCTTAGAGTCCGACACGACTGAGTAACTGAGCATGTATGCATATATAAAATAGATAACCAGTGAAGACCTACTATATAGCACAGGGAACTATATTGATCATCCTCTGACAAACCATAATGGAAAAGAATCTGAAAAAAGATGGACACATGTATAACTAAATCATTTTTCAGTATATCTGAAACTAATACAACATTGTAAATCAACTATACTCCAACCTAAAATTTTTAAAAAAATTAAATTTTAAAAAGGGCATGGTGCATATCAAATACTCAAAAAAAAAAAAACCCAGGAAATGAAACCAATGGAAAAGACCTTCCAGAACTCCTCAACTGAAAAAAAATTCTCCAGAAAATGGAAAACATGCAGGCCCAATAAGGTTAGAGGTTATTACCCAGTACCCAAAAGATGCTCAATAACCATCTGTGGCACCAAAGGGCAAGAGGACCCTCACAGTGTGAAAAAAAAGCACAGCCAGTGGAGGTCTAGATGCTGTCCTGACCTCATATGGTTTCTATTTCACTTCTTCCTGGAAGAACAGGAGAGAAGCCATATTACTTTGGGTCTCCTCTCCCATTGAAATCTCAACCCAAACTACCTGATAGTCATGATAGATATTGCTCAGTGTTTCAGATAAGATAAAGTGAAAAAACACTTTCATTGGAGAAAGACTCATTGCTGGTTCTTTTGTCTTACCTTGTAGATTTGGGCTTGCTTCTTTAAAGGAAGAAAGTATGAAAGTTGCCTACACAAGATTGTCACAATCCACTATCCATAAGGTAGTTACGATAAGTTTGTAGAGTTCCCAAATAAGACTTATATGGCACAGCCTCGGTCCCAAAGTCCCTTGTTTGCCCAGAAAGGGGGTGTTTGGGATTTATTATTACTATTATTATTTTAAAATCCACTTTCCTTTTCTCTCCGGCCCCTCATGTCGTCATAACCCACCAGGTGACTGGAGCACAGGGCAGCAACACTGATGAATCACGTGACGTTCACTTAGGTTTTATCCACTGTACGAACCAAGCCTCAAAAGTAAACCAAGCCTTAAAAGTTACAACTGGGTCCTTTAAAAAATGGTCCTGGGCACGGTCTTCACTCCAGTGAAAGAAGGATGGACTGTAGTTTATGCCACAAACAAAATACTACGGTTGTAATTCCAAATGAAGAGACGATCGAGGATGTCTCAGAGAAGCTCAGCGTCTGGCAGCAAATACGGCATCGAAACTCGGAGGCGGTGGTCTATTTATATAGGTACACGTATTTTACAGATTAGTGATGGACGGATGTACTTCTGAGAAACAATTTGTTCCAAGTTTAATTCAAATGACGGTTGTCATTTCTGTAAGCCCCACGGTTTCAGCAATCTGTACACCAAGCAACGCTGCAGATTTTTTTTTTTTTCCTTTAATTTCAGAGGGCGAAGACGAAGTAAAAAAAGTGCAGTTCTTCAATTAAAGTGCATGGATGAGGTAAACTAATTTCAAGAGTTTTGAGTTTATTCAATACTGGCTCAGACTGGAACCATTCTGCCGTGTATCTGCTGCATTTGGGTTCTCATTGCCTGGACGCTGCTCAAGACCTTATTCTGGTGTGTGACAGCTGTGATGCCAATCCTGGCCAGGTCACTGTAAGTACGGAGAGACAAAAAGCGGGAGAGGAAAATATGATGAGGGCTGAGAATCTCTTCCGGGCTTCATGCAGACACACATTTGAATCAGCCACAATTAATACAGCACAACAAGGCAGGTGTATTAAAATGTTTAATTAAGCAATTGAATGCAACAATGTAGGTGCTTTATAGAGGCTGTGCAAAATTACACTCAATCAAAATGGAAGGCATTCCAGTTTTCTTTAAAAAAAAAATGAGTAGGATGATTATGCAGCTCAAAGCAAAAAAAAAAAAAGAAAAGGAAAATACTATTAAATCTAGATTTACCCTTTGTGTTACATCGCTGAGTACTTACTCCTGGTTCATGTGCACTACAGCCTCTAGCGTGGTATAGCCAGCAGCAGTGAAGTTATCCTTATACCGGTCCATTTTAATGGCTTGGAGCCAATCGCCTACTGATACCACGGCGGAGAACTCAGGGGAACTTGGATCCAGCAAGGCAGTGTTAGGTCTGGAAATGGAATGAGAAAGTATAGACAGACAAGAATTATCAGTGAGATAGCATGACTCAGAAGTCAGATGGTCCAAGGCAGAGGAGGGGAATCAAAGTATCAAAAACGGACTTTAGATAGAATCACCAGCGATCAATGTCATCATGTGATTTTTCAACCCTAATTTCATAAAGCTGCAAAAGCATGTCTCCATCACCCTACTTGTTTCTAACTTCATTTCCTGCATTTGTTTTATGTGGACCTCTTAATGCATTAAGGATCAGAGCAGGTCTTTTAACAACCTAGCCTGGGGCAAAGGTTGGGGGATGGGGGGGTGGGGGCCGTCCTTATTGCTGAAACTGGCTCAGTCTTTGCAGAAAGACAGTCCCTGCCAGGACAGAATATCACAGACTTTAGTTCAGCAGCTATGGAAACCTTAGTGAAGGATAAGTAAGGAAAACTGAGAGCTTGCAACCTGCCAGACTTGATGGAAGCAGAGAGAACAGTGAGAGTTCAAGTCCGGCATGGTTCCAGCCAGGTTTGCAGGCAGGCTCAGTTCATTCAAACAAACGGGACAGCAGGGAGTTAATCCCCTCTTTAATCAACCCAGCCTGACCAGCACGTGTGCCAAGACTGGCAGGAAGAATGGCCACTTTGATCACTGTTTGGATTGTGGAATGTGCTTCTCGTCTTCCTTTGCTGGGGCTCCTAAAGAATCATTTCAACAAATTCTAAGCACTTCTTCTTAACTTATTTATTAGTCGATGCATTTCTCGGGCCAGGTGTTTTACATTAGATCACCACCAAGAACAACTAGAGTTCAAGGTAAGTGATCTGTCACCCTTCACGATATTGATAAATAATAAATAACCTATTTTTGAAAAATATTTATTAAGTGAATTATAGTCATCTTGATCATCAAACTACTTAATAATCATAGGATAAACATTAATAGGGTATTTTATACACTTTCACTATAATTACCTGCATAGCAACCTTGCTACTTATTAAATTCTATTTTCTTAAACTTGCTTTCCATAGAAATTACAGAATGTGGTTGCTCTTAACATTTTGATCTGATTTTCATCCTGTGACGATGTTCCTTGAACATGAACATCTAAATCAGAATTATATTATCATCTTGAATTTTCAACCCAAAAAAATCGTTTTCTTGTAAAAAAAAAAAAAATCAAGCCTATCTAATGGTCTAACTTTCTACATAGTAGAATTAATCCAATCCATTTTTCATTTTAATTTTTACCTAAGTTGTTTTGACTTGCATAACTTCTATTTTATATAAGTATATTAACAAAAACTTGTTTTATCAACAGTTCTGTCCAAATAATAGCTTGTTTATGACCTTTCTCTTTGTCCACTATATTAATTAAATCAAATTTTCCAAGTAATATTCTGCAGATTTTTATGGTAAGAATAATCAAGATTTCATTCTTTCCCCAATTTTGAGCCAGTAACAAATATGGCCACACAGAGTTTGAGACATTAGTGTTGAATGTTTACCAGGAATGTTTGTTAATGAACAACAAAAAAAACCAGTTTGCATTTACTTCTAACTTTAACCAAGGGCAGCAGAAGAGCACACGGAGGCACTAGGTGCTTGACAAGGTTAAAATGACCTGAGAATGAAACTATCCTTACTCAGTATTAATTAATCCTAAGGGTCATTCTCAAGCTTGTTCTGGAAGCCTCTGTGCCCTTTGTGGAACACCATGACATTTGCCTAATTTTGTGCTGAATCACATTCCACGCTATACTACATCCCATTATCAGCAAGCAGTAAGAAGCATCCAAGCTCTGTAAGTACTATCAACGAGAAAAAATTCAGAAGTGAGAAAAGTGTATCCAATAACCCAATTTGTTCTGCCCTTTGGTGCAAAGCACTCATTATGCAGAGTTAGCAGCGAAAAAGTTTCCACTACCAGGAAACTCAAGTACCAAAGAACTGGACTTTCACCTTCAGACAAAATACATGGGATCGGGAGCTGGAGATCTAAAAGTTGGGGGAGGTTTACCTAGGAATAGAAGAAACGAGCTACACCTGGAAAAGAGGTCTTAGCGCCATCTATTTTCATCCTCTTGGGGAAGAGAAGAACCAAAAATAGGCCAGAAATGATGGGAGATTTTATTTTAGGTCACTTGCAGTATCTTTATCTTCTCTCTGGACTGCTGAAATGCTTCTTTTTTGCTCTTTCCAGTGAAGTGTATATTTGTGTGTTAAGTCACTTTAATCGGGTCTGACTCTTTGCCACCCTATGGACTGTAGTCTACCAGGCTCCTCTGTCCTTGAGACTCTCCAGCCAAGAATACTGGAGTAGGTTGCCATGCCCCCCTCTAGGGGATCTTCCTGACACAGGGATCGAACTTGTATCTTGTGCAGCCCTGCACTGCAGGTGGATTCTTTACCTCTGAGTCACCAGGGAAGACCCTTCCAATGAAGTAACTATTGTATAGGTGGTTCAATAATTTTAATTTTTAAAACTTTTCTCAAATATTCATCTGCATGTTTGTAACTTGATCCTGTTTCCTTCTTCTCTTGAAAGACTCAGAAAAGAGCAACTTTAAGAACCAAAAAAGGTGAATCTCTTGCCTCAATTCACATTTTATTAACTCAACTTAGAGCTGTCTTGGAATCCTTATTTTTTGTCCCTTATGTTTCTTCCCCTTTCAAAATATAGCATCTAGTAGCCTGACTATCTTCCAAAAGTACATTTCATCCCTCTAAGTTTTCAGTTCCAGCCTCACAAAATAAGCACTTGAGCTTTTCCTTGGTTGTTCTTGTAAAAAATTTGTTTCTCTGACTTTTGTTTGAGGCCTGACAGGTACAAGGCTCTTCAAAATGGCAAACAGAAAACTACCATAAATACTCCACTCGAGGAGGAAGAAGCCACCCACGTTGCAGACGGCTGTGCCGTGGCCTCTGACTAAAAGCCAGAAATTAAAGTGAGTTACCACCTGTATGCCACCTCTGAAGTATTCTTTCACACATCACTATTAAGAAGCAGGGCTGACCTGGAGCTCTCGCTCCCTGTCCTCTTCAAGCTGTTGGGATTGCGGATGAGTTTGTCCAACATGTTGACAATCTGCCCAAATTTCGGCCTGTCGCTCCTCTCCTTCTGCCAGCAGTCTAGCATCAGCTGGTGGAGCGCGATGGGACAGTCCATTGGAGGGGGCAGCCGATAGCCTTCTTCGATGGCTTTAATCACCTAGCAAAAACAAAAAAACAAAAAAAAAAACGCCCACAGAATGCTATGTTAGTTTGCCAGGCAATCTGTTGTTAGAGGTTTACCCTCCTGCTCAGCAAGTTCCCTGTCCATTAAGCTGCCAGCAAGCTTGAGCATGGGAATGGCTCCAATTCTTTCACAGAAGCCAGAGCTGGACCTGAGTATTGCTGGCAGCAGGGCAGGGAAGCCAGCCATTGCTATGAGGGGTTCTCAAATGGCAGACGATGCCCATCAGGAACTCCAATATGAAGATGCATCAGGGTTCCAAGGTGGTTAGAACCCAATCAGACCAACCACGTGGTGTTGGCCTGGCCCCCAGAGCCCAAAGGGCGATGATCTTCTCTGTTCTTCTACCAGCTAAATGCTCTTAGCAAAAGAGATTTTAGCTTAAAGGCTTTAAAGACATTCCTTAGGATGCCTCCAAAATGCAAGTCCTTTTGTGTCACTTTAAGCCTGTGTCCTCTTTTATTTTATTTTTTTGGCCACACTGCATATGATACAGAATCTTAGTTCCCTGGCCGGGGATGGAACCCACACCCCTTAAAGCATATCTTAACCACTGGACCATGAGGGAAGTCCCAAATCTGTGTACTGTTGATTAGACAGCTGATGGGTCAATACCAGAGCCCATCTTCCAGTTCAGGAGACACTACCTCTCTGAATTAGCACATTCCTCAACCCCTCCAGATGCCCCACCATTTTTACTTTTGGAAGAAAATACATAGTTTATGAATTCTGTGTCTCTTTCTTGGTCTCAGCTGATCCTGCTAAAGGTACTAATAGCTAGATTAAAAAATCTAAAAACAATAATTTAAAAAACCTTCTTTGGGGGATTTATATTTTAAAGGGACCCTGACACATCTAAGGAAGGCAGCTATAATTGCCATACAGAGTGGTCCTCCTGCCTAATGAGACAAGTCATTCCATGACTTTTCTAATTGTCTTCACAGATAAAACAATATATTTCTCATTGACTTTTCTCTAAACCCCTGTTGTTCATGGTGTGAATCCCAGTAACAATATGGTAAGCCTCCTGCCAAAGTTAAAGAGGGGAATTACTTCTTAATTTTTTGGCTACTCATAAGCTTTGTTTATGAGTATCCTGTATGATTCTGGAGGTACTTTTGTTTGAGGATGTTTAAAAGTTTTGTTTGTTTTTAAATCAGTCCTCCCACCCTCTCCACCCTCCCTCCCAAAAAACGGTAGTTCCTAGTGAGACCACCACTGGCTACAGCCACCTCAATGATCAGGACAGAGTTCCCTTCGTGGTGCATCAGTGATCAGCCTTCAACAGAAAACAATCAATTCAGTTGGGTCCAGTTTCTATACAGCAGTATTCTGTGGTTCTTTTTAACCAGGATACTGTTTCTGTGTAACAATTATCTTGTGATTTATTAAGCCCTCTGAATCCTTTTCTCCCATGTATTTTTGCCAACCTCCTACCATATTAATATTAATTTACTCCTTCGAAAGCAGACTTCTATATGCTAATTTACTGAACATGCTTCTATTTATTTCTGGCAATGATATTAGGTCAGTTTGACCCTTTGACTTTCTTTGATCTTTCCAGGTGCATGGTGTTGACTCTAGACTTGATGAAAACATTTTACATTGAATTGATGGGAATGTGAGCAACACTGGGCTGACGCCAGGTGAACACAATTTGTTATAAACCCTCAAACTGCTTAGTATTTCTTTCACTAGCTCCCTATCCACTGCCAGCTTGGAAGATGGCTTGTGGGTGAACAAAACATATTTTCTCAGTTTACTGCTAAATGTCTGGGGCTGGGGGGGCGGGGTGGGGGAAGAGAGACAATTAAAACAAACTTGATGAAAAACTTGATAAATTTAACATATTTTTAACAGTTACTTTGACTCCATTCACCATATGCCAAATGAATTTTCCCATGAAAGTAATTCTCCAGTTACATTTCCTATTGATTGCTGTTCTACACAGACTCCAACACAGAGAGAAATACATGTGAATAATAGATCAATAATATTTGTGGGGGTGAATTGGCTTCAGATGCTTTTACATGGATAAAGGCAGACAACTAAAAGTTTAAAACAATGAAATTGTTTTAAGATAATATAGAAACTGTCAAAACTAAGTCTGAAAATATCTATTTAGGGTGGGAAAAAAAAGACATCTTTAGATATTCTGCTTTTATGAGCATTTGGCTGCTGCTCTCAACTGAAATAAAGACAAGCTTAAATATACAATAATTAAATAAGTAAATACAGACACTATTCCTTCTTTGAGGGTTTCTCTGGTGGCTCAGTAGCAAAGAATCCACCTGCCAATGCAGGAGATGTAGATTAACTCCCTGGGTTGGGAAGATCCCCTTGAGACAGAAATGGCAACTTACTCTAGTATTCTTGCCTGGGACATCCCATGGACAGAGGAGCCTGGTGGGCTACAAGTCAGACACAACTTAGTGACTAAACAACAACAAACTCCCTCTTGTAGGCTGTTGGCCTTTGTTTCTCTGCATGTCTCTTACGCAAAACCAAACGTTACTACAAGAAAGGTAGTTGAAGGTGTCTTCATAATCACATCAAACAGTAGATTACACACTGCTCACTTCTGTAGTCCGTCTCTGTGAGAGCTGGACTATAAAGAAAGCTGAGAGCCCAAGAACTGATGCTTTTGAACTGTGGTGTTGGAGAAGACTCTTAGAGTCCCTTGGACTGCAAGGAGATCCAATCATTCGATCCTAAAAGAAATCAGTCCTGAATGTTCATTGGAAGGACTGATGCCGAAGCTCCGATACTTTGGCCACCTGATGTGAAGAACTGACTCACTGGAAAAGACCCTGATGCTGGGAAAGATTGAAGGCAGGAGAAGGGACAACAGAGGATGAGATGGTTGAATGGCATCACTGACTCTATGGACATGAATTTGAGCAAGCTCTGGGAGGTGGTGATGGACAGGGAAGCCTGGCCTGCTGCAGCCCACAGGGTCACAACAAGTCAGACATGACTGAGTGACTGAACTGAACTGAACTAAGTCTGTCTCCAATCTGTAATTATCTATCAGTTATGCTAGCTGCTGTCTCCCTTCCTATTTGTTATGAACCTTCCTTTGTAATTTATAGGTACTACAATGTCAACATTACCATTCCTCTTAACCTGGTCAGAGAATTCTTTTTGCCCCACTGGACACAGTGGGCAAATACCTTAGCTTCTGTATTGCTCTAAACATTCTTCTACTGATTAAGCAACCAGCATCCTATTTCTTGAGTGCACCTAGTTTTTCACTTAATTGTCAAGGTTTTGCAACATCCTGTTGTTTCAGGACAAGGCAAATGGTCAGGTAACATTCCACTTCAGAGAAAAAAAAAAAAAACACTTTTTCTAAAATAGTTTTTATTGATGAATTGAGTATCTCTCATTTGTAAACATGCTAGATGCTAATATTTCACCTCACCTGAAAATATTAGGAAAGTTTTAAAAATGACCATTTTATTTTATTCTGATTTCCAACCCTTCTGGAACTAACACTTTCCTAGAAATAGCTCGAGTGTCCTAAGAAGACTCCCCTGGTCTAGGTTTTTGGTTTTTTTTTTCTTTCTCACTGGAGATGTTTATAATTAAATTCTATTACTCTGGAATCTTATTAGTGTCATTATTGAATGCTTTTCTAAAATTGCAGGCATTGTGGATACTCCCATACGAAGTAGTCCAGATGGTACATTTAAAGGGATGTGCATAATTTACAAAGGGTCATTTAGTGAAGCTTTATTTTAGAGTCCTCAAGGGCAAGCTCTAATTACAACTTTGCCGGCTTTAAAATATTCACTAGATTTCTTCCAATACAACTTTCATGTCAATTTCACTGCATGTGAAATGTGTTTTTCATATATCCCTGCATTTTCTTAACATTCAAAGTTTAATTTTGTTTCAGTATGAACTTGAAAGCTAACCAAGTAAAGATACTGCTCCATATCACCAATCAGCTGAGTTATGCATCCATCTGTCTATCAATCTATCTCCCACATTGTACTGTTTAGGCTTTGTAGTTTTGGTCCTTGAAATCAATGACCATAAGTTTTAGCTAGCCTACTAGACACATTTGTATTAAGACCCTGAAGTTTACCGTATCATTTCACACTCAACACTTACTCCATCGTACAGTAACATGAAACTTCCTGCATCTCAAAAAACATATATTTCAGAACATAAAGACTCACATCTTGATTGGACATGTCCCAATAAGGTCTCTCTCCATAGGACATCACTTCCCACATAACGATCCCGTAGCTCCATACATCACTTGCAGATGTGAATTTACGATAGGCGATTGCTTCTGGTGCAGTCCACCGGATGGGAATCTTGCCACCCTGTGAACATCCAAGCTCTAGATTATTCCCCAAGTACACTGACCTGCCCTTTTAGTTTCTAAATGTTATAGTTTCTGAATGTTATTACTGTGGGTCAAGCAGGACAACAGCATTCCTGAGATAGTTTTCCAAACAATCACAAGATACTTGTTATCTAAAATGTTCCAGGTTGAGACAGTTCTGATATGTTTTCATAGGTTATGGGGAAGTAAACAACTAATCTCCTTAATTATTTTTTAAAAAGCCAACCTACTTCCTGGGCTCTGCTTAAGGCAATACTGTAGTAGAAAGGACATTTTAAGTTTTACAAAACACACATTATCTGTGGTGTATACCAATGAATGTGCAACTAACAGTAATTTTGACTTCTTGTTGGATTCTCTTACCCAGCAGCACAAAACCAACACTTAGTACTGCTTCAGAAATCATGAACTAAGGAAGTTAAATATGAATATTTCTATATACTCCACATATATATGTTCCAACTCTTACAGAACATGAGAAATATGCCTAACTTAGCTAGAAGATAATACACTGAACAGACTCTTAGAGGAAGTCAAATAGTACCAGATGCTAAAGCCATTACTGATTTTAATGGAGGGAGGGCAGGATTTTGATTATTTAATTTTCTAAAAAGACACCTGCAAAAATGGTAAAGCAATTGAATATTACCCCCCAAAAGTTTAAAGGTCTCAAATGTCTCCTGTTGATTATGCTTATGTGCAAGGTATTTTTAATGGAGTTTCAAATTTCTTAGGGTTCCATCTGGGGAAATTAATTCAGCTTTAATTCAGACCCTTAAACTGTTCAAGAGGACATCATTTAAAAGTCTTCTTTGCTTCATTAGGGCTACTAAAGAGGGCAATAAACTGTACCATAAATTTCATTGATTCACTATACTTTACACTGTATTACATTTATGCTTGTTCCATGCAATGAGACACTTATGCTGTTTTCCTTAAATATTTTGGCTATATAAATGTATTATTCAAGAAGCTTCTTTCTGCTTTCCTTTCTCCAACTACTAGGGGGAAATAAAAAGTCTTTAGCATTGACAAAGGTGTATTCTTTCCTGAATGAATGGACTTAGAATTTTGGAGAAGGTATGTGTAAGAATCAAAACTGCAGCCACAGAAACAGAACACTACCAGAAAACATGCATGCACACCCCCCCCAAACTATACCAAAAAACCCCCCAATGCTTATTATTACAGATGCAAAATGGTTAACATTAAAGGAGGAAAATGGCTGGTCTGCTTCATGTTGATTTTAACAGTGTCAGCCCTAATGGCCAATAACTTTTATGATTCTGTGTTTATTCCATTAGTATCTTATATTCAGATTGTCCAGCTAAGATAGCAAAGCCATTAACTGTATACTGATAACTCTTCACCATGCCTTAATCCCGGCTTATCTACTAGTAGTAAAATGCAGGCCATTAGATACTGGGAAACCTTGTGTAGTGTAAATGTTTTATAAATCCTGTGTATACATTCTCAGATTTGGTAGGCAGCTGACTAGAACACTGTTCTGACTTGTTTAAAATAAGATTTTTTTTTAAATAATGAAAAGGAACCAAGTATAAAATCTAAAACAAACTAACTGGAAGAAAGGAAGGAAGCAAAGTAGATTAAGTGTGAAAAAAATACAATAATGTGATGCTCTAAATTGTGATCATACATCTAGAGCATATTTCAAAATTTCTCTTGGAAACATGGTTTTAAAATGGATGCAAGGCTATGAAGAGGCTCTGCAGGATGAAGTAACTTATAAATATCATAAAGGGCTTAAACATCAAGTGAGAGGAACAGTTTCATTAGAGTCAAAGCTCAAAGGTCACAAACCCTTCTTACCCTGGTGGTATATGCTGCTTCCGGATCGTCCTCTAGCACTCGCGACATGCCAAAATCAGACACTTTGCAGACCAAGTTGCTATTGACCAGAATGTTCCGTGCAGCCAGGTCTCGATGGACATAGCTCATATCAGATAAATACTTCATCCCAGACCCAATGCCACGAAGCATGCCCACCAGCTGAATGACCGTAAATCTGCCATCATTCTTCTGCAGAGGAAAGGAATGAGGTACAATCTCATTAACATTAAGCCTAATTAATTTTCACGAAGCATTTATTACTTGGATCTTTTTTGATATCTGTATCCGGTGTGCAGTGAAATTCAGTATGATTTCCGGGCCTTTTGGACCAAAGTCGCTAATTCATGAGCAGAGTATGAGCAAGGAGCTGGGTTAGCTTCCTGTGATAGATGGAAATTATCCAACTGTAATGAATCCATGGCTCCAACAGCCCCACAATACAAAAGTAAATCAAATGCTACCCTCCTTGAACATGGACTATTTAAAGAGCCTTTAAAAAATAGCATCATTCTCTATTTCTCCTCTTCTTCTTCTGCCCCATTAGAACAGGTCTGTGTACAACCAAACAGAACACACATTCAGAGTGTGTTAGAGTTTTCTAAATACCAACATTCTTGGGTTTAATATAAAGTAGTTACATACCCTGAGGAATGCATCCAAGGAGCCATTCTCCATGTACTCTGTTATGATCATTACTGGTTTACCTAGAGTTTCCAGAAAGAAAAACACAAAACCCTTGATGAGCACTGCAGTTAATGAGATAAAAATGGGCTGTGCACAATTTTCCTGCCAAGACACCTGTCTTGTGCGATCTAATTTAATTAAAACAAGCCAAGCTTATGCCTCAGCTGTGGGGAGCTAGGAATGAAATATTAAAAGGACGAGTAGGTTTAAATTCCATCTGGAAGGTTAACCCTTTGGGTGGTTTGTTGACAAGGTCTTTAACTACAGTGGCCTCCAGCACCCAGGGGCATGTGATGAGTATTTGTTCTCTCAAGCAACCGGAGAAGAAGATAAATGACCCATTTCAAGGCAAAAAAAAAATCTTTAGGATAATTAATTAATTTTGCCCCCAGAAGAGACAATTGTGCAATGCTAAAGGAATCAATGAACAGAGAAAGTTTTTTTTTTTTTTTTTTTTAATACCTATTTAGAGAAACCCAAGTTTCCAGGAGCAGTAGCTATGCTGAATACTTCATTACCTGGAACTCATCTTAAAGCTCAAGCATGTACAATCTTAGCTTTTCGCCCAGCCTCACTCAGGTCAGGGGCTATAGCCTTTCTTTTCCCTTTTCCTATCTATCAATACACTCAGTCTATTTGCTTCTTTAAGATGACAACCTCAGCAGCAGCAACAACATCATGGGAAAGGGTCAATAAGTGGTTTCATCCTAGCAGCAATTTTAGTTCAGTACTAGAACATTTGTGCACCCCAGTCCCCTTTGTAAGCAAAGAAATCAAAATGATTTTAAGGTTTGGAGAAGTGGGGACACATTTTCATTTCGCTTTCGTTTTCTGAGGATTTTAGCAAATAAGGATGGTTCTTTAGTTTCTTAATCCCAGGCAATGGACTCAAGGTCTGAAGTTCCTTCTTTCTAAAGGTGTTTGTAGGGTCAAAAAGACTCAGACATGACTAAGTGACTTTCACTTTCACTCTTTCTTTTGTGGGAGTGAAGAGGGAGTCGAAAGTAAATCTTTGATATTTTACTAAGGCTAGGGGTAAAGCAAAGAGGATAAAAGAGAGTTCCTGGGAGGAAAATAAAATATTAGTTTGATAAATAAAACTAATTTTTGACTTATCAAAAATACTCATTGTTGTCCTTATGGTTATGACTTAATCATGGAAACCGGACTGGGATGTGTCATTGCTGGAAAGTCCCCAGAATTATTCTAAACGGGTACGTTTTCCATCTTAAGCTCCTATCAAATTAAACTCTCTACTGGCATAGGGAAAGGGAATATGTCTTCATTTCAGAGGCCAAATTTTAGAAGAGCAAAAGTTTTTAACATCAGTGAAGTCCCATTTATCAATTTGTTTTTTGGTTATGCATTGGGTATTGTGCCGAAGGAATCTTTCCAAGGCAAACATGTTGAATTAGGAAACAACACCTTGGACATTTTATTTACCAGGGATGAAGGAAAGCGGACAGAAGAAGCAGGAATCTCGGTGTAGACTAAAGGATGAATAAAATCACTTCTAATCTCTTTTCCCTTGGCTGCTGAGAGAGGTCCCTGACTGCCTTGCCATCCTCCGTCAATATAAATAGGAAGCCCTGAGTCCTTAGACTCAATGACCCTCTATAGCCGTGACCACACAGAACAAATGCATCTAAATGAGTTTTAATGAACCTGCCTCAATCAAATGCTACTTTGTCAACTCATGAGAAAGGGTGATTCCCCTGGTGGTGCATTAACACCTACTTCCATTTCACCAGGCCCCTCTGGAAATGTGGGGAAGAGAGCACAAGATTGGAAAGAAAAGGGGGTAGTGGTAAGAATTTATAGTCTCTCTGTCCATTTACAAAGTTACTCAAGGAACTCAGATTCTCACTTCACCTTTTCACCCTTACACCTCCCTAATCTGACAGTTGGCAGCATCTTCACAATTTTTCTACATTCCTTTTCCTATTTATTAAATGTATCCATTTGTCAGAATCTATGAGGGCTACAAGATAAATAAAGATGAATGTCTGCATCGGCACAGAGGGGCTTATAAAATGGGTCCTGGTTGGACTCCTGGGTGGAGGCAAACCCATCCCCAGAACAAGCAGGGATGCCGTGGAGAAGGGAGAGGTGGGAGGGGAGAAGTGGGGGAAGGGGATAGCTCCTCTGGTGGAAATTTTAAATCATTTTAATTCAGTGACAACTGCATTATGCAAATGCATCCAGTCGTTTATAACAGTTACAGCTGTAATAGCTACGGGTTTTAGAGAGGCGCGGTGGGATTTTAGCACAAAGATCCCCTGTTTCTTCTCTCTTCTGCAAGAGGTGCTACAAAAATCACTGTCTGCCCCAGGAAAAACACCCCAAGCTGAACAGAGCCTCCTTGTGAGAAAATGGACCTGCAGAAGTATTTAAAGGGAATGTTATCTTTTAATTAAAGAAGTGAAGGGCTCCGGGCAAGCCCAAAGGCCACAGGCTACAGGGAAAAAAAAAAATCCTGTCTGTGTTAAAAAGCAAATAGAGCTATTCTATGCTAATTATAGCCTTCACCTTAGGTGGAAAATTATTATACCCTTAGCACCAAGCTTCCTTTTTTAAAGGATTCCAAAGCTGGGGGAAAGATGTACTTCTTAAGACACAATAGTACCAGTTAACACTTAGAGTTTTTTTTTTTTAATTTGCTATATAAGCATTATGCCATACACCCTAAATATTTCATTCAAAACAACCTTGTAAGGCAAGTTCTATTTTTATCTCTATTTTACAGATGAGGAAACTGAGAGCTTGAGCAACCAGTTAAGACTTCACAATTTACTAGCAGAAGATGGTGTGCAACTCTTTGGTCACTAGGCCAAAGAGACTCAAAGTGTGGTCCCAGGGACTACAGTGTGGTTGACCTTGAGCTCTTTAGATCGTGAGCTCATGGGCCCCTAACTACAGAATCAAACCTCTGAGGTGAGGTCCAGGAAAGTGTTTCAATGAGTTTTCCAGAAATCTGATATATGTTTAAGTCTGAGGACCTCTAAATGAATGTATATTTGCTGCGACTTTCTAGTAATTCCTTATTTTCCCTGCCCAAAGATTGTGTACCCTTGCATGTTACTGACCTCTTTGCCCCAGACCTAATGTCTAATGTTTATACTCTTTAAATTGCCCCCACTTCACCCACTGCAGCCATCACTCTGCACCGGTTGATGGAGGATGCTTTTCCCAGGCACCTGGAATCAAATGGTACACTGGTTTCCTGGAGACATAGCCCCAGGCTGACACGATCCCTGACTTGTAGTCACTGTAGTAGGTACTAAGACTTCTGGAATATAGCCACCTTCAATAGGAACTGTTTCACCTGCCTTGTTCTTGTGGGGCTTTATAAGTGGGTCTTAGCCAGCCTTATAGATGTATTCAGGGTATGCTTCACAAAATGCATCTGTTGAGCTGTGTCGTATTGTAACTGAAGCGTGGTTCACGGGCTCAGCAAATGCTAATGGACTAAAAAAAGGAAGGTTCAACCAGGTGTTACTGGAAATAGGTGCTGAACTGCAGCTGCCATAAATCAGGCCGAGCAGACAAGCAAATCCCCCAATATAACAGATTCCCAGGACGCACTCCTCGCATCTGGAACCAAAGCTTCGAGCACAAGGTGTGGTGAAGTACTGTAGTGTTTTATAGGAAAAGTACTTAAAATTTATTTTGCTTACCATCTGCTTGCGCCTACCCTGTGACAATCAGTTTGGTCTAGCAAACATTTGAAAGATGGCGAGGCATACTAAAAATCTGCAATATTAATTTCGCTAAAATCTCACACAAGCTGCTTTGGAAATAGGGTATCAGCCTACACCACAGACCCATTTAGAACTGACTACAAGATTAATGACTTGTCCTGCACTGATTTCCTCCTATTAGCAATCAGTGGGTCTGTTCCATCTGTCATTTCCCTGGAAAGAAAATGTGTGTTTAATTTGCCAGTAACTTCTAACTTGGCTTTGTCAAGGGAGCGACCCACGTACATTTGGTGACAACGCCTTCCAAGTGAATGATATTTGGGTGATCAAACTGTCCCATGATGCTGGCCTCGCTTAAGAAGTCCCTTCTCTGCTTGTCTGTATATCCAGCTTTCAGCGTCTTGATAGCCACATAGATTTCTCTTTTGCCAGGCACTTTGAGACGCCCACTGCATACTTCGCCAAATTCACCTTTGAGAGAGAAAAAGAATTGACTCTGAACCAGAAACACATTAAAAGTGAAAGAATAATAGCTAGCATTTGTGGAGTGTTTATCACACACCGAGCACTGCGCTGGTGTTTTATGTGGATTAAGGAAATTTCAGGTACACAGCTATTTACATACACAGGCACACAATATATATTCATATGCCTTTATATAATCCACATATATCTATATTTAATATTCACAAAGAAAACAGGCTTATAGATACAGACTTACCAACTCCTATGACTTTTTCAATCTTAATGCAGGATGCGTCGATTTCTTTGGCAAATTCTCGAACTGCTTGGTTGGGATCTTCATACGTAAAGGGATCCACGTACGTTCTAACACCTGAGTAACAAACATGCAAAAAGTTGGCAGGACACTTCTCATGCGTGCGTGCTAAGTTGCTTCAGTCGTGTCTGACTCTTTGTGACGCTACAGACTGTAGCCTGCCGGGCTCCTCTGTCCATGGGATTCTCCAAGCAAAAATACTGGAGTGGGTTGCCATACCCTCCTCCAGGGGCTTTTCCTGACCCAGGGATCGAACCTGCGTCTCTTACATCTTCTGCATTAGCAGGTGTGTTCTAGCGCCACCTGGGGAGCCCACACACTTTTCAGGAACCACTAGTAAACTGAAATTCTCTGGATCTGAAAATACTCAGCACAGGAAAAGTTTTCTTAGCATGAGAAAAATAGCATAGGTATAGGAAAATGTTTAAAGTCTCGCTCTGTGTGTTTTGTTAGCAGGTAAACAAGAATTGTTTGCTACATAAGAGGCTGTAGCTCTCCAGAGTTCCTGGGAAGCCTTCACAGTGCAAGGATGAAATTTTAAAAACCACCTATCCGGTGGAGGGAAAGAGAGTCTCCATAAGGGAATTTGGAATGTGTTAGCTAAACACTGTTGTCCTGGGGACTTCCCTGGTGGTCCAGTGGTTAGGACTCCCCGCTTCCAATGCAGGGGGTAAGGGTTTGATCCCTGGTTAGAGAACTAAGATTTCCACAAGCCATGTGGCACAGTCAACAAATAAATAAATAAATAATTGAAAGCAACAAAAACGACGCAAAAAATATATTGTCCCAATCAGCTGCTCAAGTCCTATCCACCATCTCCAGCTTTCTTCCCTTAGGGAAGATACAGACACTGTTTCAAATGGTCGTGCTACAAGGCATCACGTTTAGCCCCATATCCACCAACAATTGATAACAGTAAACAAACTAAACCTAGGTTAAATGGACAAGAGGGATAATTAATCTGCTAGTTAATTTGAAAATGCAAACTCTATATTGGAGTTCCACTTTTATTCAGTTTTGGAAAGAAGGTGCTGTAAGTAAAGACACTGAATTCCACCTGGAAACTTCCGCTGAAGAAAATAACTGTAGCTGAATCATGAATGCTTTGAATACCAGGAAGGGTAATTCAGCCACACCCTACAGTCACTTGTAAGCTGAATTCAGAATGTGAGCACTTAGGCAGCCAGAGATGTCTGGGACAAGATGCATTAGAAATTAGTGGGAACTTTCCACTGGCATTCACACCTTGCCTTTCCCTCTGTAGCTCCTGGAGCTTTGGGGCACTGAGAGGTTAGGATACAGGTTGGCCCAATCCCTTTGATTTCCCAAGACTGTCAGTTTTGTTCTCATCTCAAAAAAAAAAATTACATAATTTTTGTTATTAAAAATATATACTGCATGCAAATGAGAAAGTGTAGTTTTAGGAAAGAAACAAGATGAACAAAGGGAAAATTACTGGATACTCCATGACCCTTCATCACTTGGTATGTTCGAGCCAAAAAATCTTTCTCAATCGCTAACAGGGTAGCTATTAACCACTTGGTACTATTTAAATGCAAATTAGTTAAAATTAAATGAAATTAAAAATTCACTTCCTCATTCACGACTAGCTACTTTTCAAGTATCCAACAGTGTGTGGTCACTGGCTAATGAATTGAATGGTGCAGATAAAGACCTACCATCACCTCAGCAAGTTCTAGTGGATGGTACTCCTGAAGAGTCACTAACCACTGTCCATTTCAGAGTCTTCTATCTTCCTCAAGTCATTCAATTCTTTGAATTTACTCTTTGGAACCACATGGATCATCAAAATAACTAAAATCCACTTAAGAAATACTGATAGTCTCGAATTCCATAGCGAAATTCTGCCATGTGTTCAATTCCTTATTCTGTCTGTCCCCAAAATTTTTACCTCAGAAAAATTGTTACCTGTTAAATCTTGCCACCCAGCTACAAAACTGAGCCAGCTACCAAAACTTCTTCAGGGTGGAGGATAAAATAAGGGAAAAAAGCATTTAAGGAAATTCCCCAATCTCCACCTTTAATCTCACCTTAAACAAACACCAATCACCTATTTGAGTTAGATACCCTGAAGTCTACTATTTGGATAATTCCATGAACAGAATATAATCTTAATAGCCAAATGAATATTGTTTAGACATTTCTAGAAATGCTTGAAAAATAAAATTACTTTTATCCCAATTTTCTGTACCTTGGTTCAAATGTTTCTCTTCATCTGCTTCTTGTTTTGCTTTACTGTATTTACTCCGTCTATTAAAAGATAAAAAAAAATACATTTTCAGAAGTTGTAAACCACAAGTTCTTTGCTACCGTAAGTCAGGTAGTATACAAATTTCACAGATGAGAAATTTGAGGTTTATGGGAGGTAAAATAATAGGGTGAATAACTTTTACCTTGATATTAATGGTAAATAATGGTTTCAAATACAAGCAGAGTCCACAGTCTCTACTCTTAACCACAGTATTAAACTGAGGTGATAAAGCAAATATTATATAATATAATTAGAATTTTAAATCTTCATGAGAAATTTCTTGTATTGAAGATTATAATTTACTGGCGAGTTTCCCCGCTTATAATTCCCCACTTAGCTTCTCTAAGTTTGGTATCAACATGTATATAGTGCTACATTGAAAATGGCTAACTAACCAGGTCCTACTGTGTAGCGCAAGGAACTCTGCTCAATATTATGTGGCAGCCTGGATAAGAGGGGAGTTTGGGGGAGAATGGAACATATATATGGCTGAGTCCCTTTGCTGCCCGCCTGAAGCTGTCCCAACAGTGTTAATTGGCTATACTACAAAACAAAATAAAAAGTTAAAAAAATTCTGCACAAGGCAATAATGGTCAGTATGTGATAAGTAACAGTAAGCCCTGTTGCTTTCAACACAATAACCACTACCACAAAAAAAAAGAAAAAGAAAAAACCTCATTATCGTGTTACATGATATCCTTAAAACAATAGTTTTGTGGTTATTGGCTTCAATTGCTGCATACAAATTTCTAAATTATTAATGACAATTTAAAAGGTAAATATTTGCTTCATACTGGATTATATTCCTTAAGAGTTTGTAGAAAATACTGCAAGAGTAAAAATAAGTTTCCATTTGCAGCTAATTCTTTTTTCTAAAAAACAGTGTATGGTCCTACAGTTGGCATTCTACTCTCAAGGTCCCATAGAAGTGATATCTGACTTGGTTATAAAAAGTCTTGGGAAAAAGAAACCTTGAGTATATATAAATCTTTAATCAGTAATCTTGATACATTATACATGTGCACATGTACATGTATGTGTCCACGTGTGCAGGCGTGTGCATGCTAAGTTGTTTTCGTCGTGTCCAACTCTTTGCAACCCTATGGACTGTAGCCCGTCAGGCTCCTCTGTCCATGGGATTTTCCAGGCAAGAGTACTGGAATGGGATGCCATGCTCTCCTCCAGGGGATCTTCTCGACTCTGGGATTGAACCCACATCTCTTAGGCCTCCTGCATTGGCAAGTGGGTCCTTTACCACTAGCGCCACCTGGGAAGCCCCATGACTACAGGTATATATATTAAATAAACTGGAAAATCAACTCAGTTGATATTAGAGCTCTCTAATTTGGGAAATGAGACCACATTAGTGAATAAAATATGTGCATTTATGTTTCAGCCAAAAATGTCAAGTTTACATTGTAGTTTATAATTATCTTGTAATTTTCTTAGTGCTTTAAAGATGAGGTCAGTCAAGACTCTTACATATGTGGAAACGGAAGCTCTGTGGTGACAGAGGATTCCCTGATGGCCACGGAGGGTCGAAGCAGTGTGGTCCTGTCTGAATCCGATAACCTGAAACCCTGCACTTTGAACAAGCTGCGAAGGGCGAGATGCTCATGGAAGAAAGGGAGCCACACACACCAGAGAGCAGCCCAGTCACAGTCACGTATTCCAGCTCCTCACCCACATTCCTCTCTAAATTGTCAGCAATGCAGGAACCAGCTCTGCAATCAGACCCTCGGAGCCTACAGATGTTTCTCCGTGTGTATAATTCCCTTGCAAATAATAATACCTTGCCTTTTTACATTGCATTTAACTTTTCAAACTTCTCTCACTACACATATTATCTCTTCCCCTAACTGTTTGCAAAGCAGGGACCAGCTTAGTAAACACAGACCTCAGTTATTGGAGTTCACTTCGAAGGCAAGTTGTTCAGTCTTAAATAACAGCTTGCATTTTCACTTTGCATTTAACCTTTAAAAGAACCTTCACATCTATTATTTCATCACATCTTCTCAACAATCCTATGAAAGCAGTCTGGCAGACAGACACACGCTCAGTCCCACTGTACAGACAAAAACGACAGAGGCAGAGGGGCACATCATTCACCCATGACTCTCCAGCAAATACAGGAGTGTGTCTGCCACATCCAGCTCACTACCTCTCATAGTGGAGATGAAGTTACATGATGATATCTGGCGAGAGTTAATTATAAGTAATAGCACATTTTATATCAGTAAATCCACTTAAATTCGATTTCACTTGCTCTCAAAAGCCACTGCTTCATCAAAGAAGCTAAACAGGTTTAAATAACCTGAAATCAGACGCTTGTATGAAAGATACAGTTCCCTCCAAGCCTCCCCCCTTTCCTCTCCTTTTAAGGGAAATACAAGCGTGTTAGGTCAGGGACTATGAAAACAACATTTTATGTCAAGGAAACGCGTGGCTAGGTCCCAAGGGTGTGATAGGGCCCTGCCAGCCCAAGAGATTGTATCTTATCAGAGCTCCTAAAAGCATTATCTAAAATTACAAGTATATCTTTTAAACCACTTTAGATCAAGAATACTGATCTGATTTCTTTCCTTTAAAGAAAAAGAAAAAAAAAAAAAGCCTCGTGCAAGGAAGCTTTTGTCCCAACTTTAAACTGTCAGTGAGTTCCTCAAAAACCCTGATAGATACCAGAAGAAAGAACAGTCTCAAGAAGCCTAGGAGTGCTGATTTCCATCAACACATTCATGAAATCTGTGCAAAGCCAGAGGAAACGCAAAATGGCAAGAATCATTCATTATAAGGTTCACCTGCCCATCTCTTCCTCATACTTCTAAACATAAAAGGAGGAAGTAAATTAGAAGAGAAGGTGTATTTTTAAAGAAACTTTACTTGGAGTGCTACTTGGAAAAGTCTCTAGTGGAGTACAAGGAATGCTGACAAAGAAACACAAGGATTACTGTTCAAAGGCTAATTGTAGCCTATTAGCTACTTAATAATACCTTGAAAACTAAAAAGCCTGAGTCCTGCTCTCCCTTTGTCACCTGATGACCCTTTCTACTTTGGTTCAGGGTAGGACAATGTGTCCGTTATTGTCCAGAGAAAGAAAGCCCACTGGAGCTTATCACTGAGTCAGCCAGCCGGCAGGAAACCACGCCATCTAAAAGGGTGCGAAATTGACATCTGAGGCAGATCACCTGAATGACAGAAGGAACCTTTGTGGAAGATTTTCTAATTATTGAGATGTGGGCAAGCTGATTAAAAAAACAAAAAAAAAAACAAAAAAATTGGGAAAGGGGAGTGGTTTGTGAGTAAATGCTCCAGAAGGAAATATTCAACCTTTTAACTAAGTTAAAGGGACTTGCCTGCAGGTGAAACTTTGAAAGCTGTGAATAAGGCCACCGGAATTGGGGTATTAACAGACAATGTCCAGGAACAGCAGGGGCCCCTGGTGCTGCACCCCCAACCAACACGTTGCTCCTGGCACCTTGACTATCTGATAAAACCAACAAAATAGTGGAGGGAAGTGTGGCAGGGCCCAGTATACACCCCACTTTTATGAAAATACTGACTTCCTTGATCAAGTCGACAGATTTGATTGATGGGGTTCACTGTTCCAAAACTAATTAGCAAAAGGTAAGTAATTTATTCAGCTAAAGTGCAAATTAAAGAAGATAAAGCAATGTAATAACTAGCATGGCTCCAGGAGGACCCTTTCCAGCGTTTAATGGCATCACCCACGAAGATTCATCGAAGTCATCCTTCTTTTTCCCCTTCCTTAAGCTGTCACTGTTCCTGCACCAAATGACGGCTAAATGCTCTTCACAAGCAACATTTTGAAATGGGTGGAAGTGAACCGTACGATTGCACACAAGTTGTTTAGAAATGTTCCCGCAGTACCATCTGCCCTCTAATTGTAGAAATTTACATGACTTCATCAGAGCCAATTTAGGCTAACATTTAAGTGTATTCATTCTTATGTGATCATAATATTCCAATTAGGACACCAGGAGAGATAGAGACTGAATGGTAACTGTTTTAGCATTATGAAAAGAGTTTCAGCTCCAAAGTGGAAAACTGTAACCTTCAGAAGACAACACCAACTTGCAAAGTCTGACTTCTTAATAGCATGCATTAGAAGCACATTAAATCACAGAACAAAAATGCCAACATCACATCATGGAGGAGACTCCTGAAGCTCTGGTTCACCACAACTATCAACGTTAGCATTTGATGTAGGTCCATTTTCCAGTTCAGAAGACATTAGCATAATCTATCTAGACCCAATACTGCAAGTCAGGAGAGATGGACTCCTGTTCTGATCAAGCAACTAACTAACTAGCTATGTGACCTTCTGTAGTTAACTGTTTAACCTCTTCTCTTGGCCTCAAATTCTTAATATACAAGATGCCAGCAATTTCCTACCCTGAGCCATCTGTGTCCCTCCTTTACAAATTGTGTCACAGCCATTTCATTTCTTTTTTTTTTTTAAACATCAATTCACTACTGAACTTCCCTGGTGGTACAGAGGATAAGAATCCGCCTGCCAATGCTGGGGACCCAGGTTCCGTCCCTGGTCCAGGAAGATCTCACATGTCTGGGAGCAATTAAGCCTATGCAGCACAGCTACGGAGCCCACATCCAGCAACTACTGAAGCCCCCGAGCCGAGAGCCCACGTGCTACAGCAAGAGACACCAGCGCGAGGAGACGCCCGAGCACCGCAACTCAAGAGTGGCCCCCACTCGGTAACTCGAGAAAGTCTGTGCACAGCAGCGAAGACCCAGGGCAAGCAAAAAAAAAAAATCAATTCACTATTTTTTCTTTAATTCAGGTAAGAGGGGTACTTTATAACCCTAACATAACTAGAAACCCAGCAGCACTAGCAATGATCAGATCAATATAAAACCCACCTATGGCTGGTTATCAGGCAATACTTATCTCTGATCACCAAACTGTCCTTTAGAAAAGAAGGGCTCGTCTTGCCTTCCAGTCCTTTCTTAAAAAGTGTTTCTCATACATACTAAACAATAAAATACTATTTGGGAAGACACACTAGCCTAAAGCAACCTGAATTAATACTATTCAGGACGCTTCCGGAGGTAAACTGACGAAGTCATTAACACAGAAGGGTCTGGGTGAGGGGAGTTGTCAGAGGAATTTAACACAGTCACTAGGATCAGTAGTCCTGAGGTTACGACCTTATCATTGCATTTTATGACATCATTGCCAACAGTCAAAAATCAGTTTTAAAAGCAATAAAGCAGTTACACTGTGGCAATCACAAATGTACACCTACAGGAGTATAAAGAAATGGTGCCATGCTGCCAATGGAATGTACATATGCGGTCTAGGAGAAGATTTCTAGGGACAACATCACATAAATATAAGAAATGCTGCACCTTTAACAACCCCAGATGGTAGATATAATTACATGCTCTGAAAAGCTGACAGAATCCTTAAATTATAACTTATATGATAAGTGACACAGGAAGACACTGATCAAAGATGCTTATAAAAAATGTAAGTTAATTTCCTCAACATAATGTGGATGGTAAAAACATATAATATGTCTAAGTCAATGTATTCCATATAGCACTTTAAATAAATAAAATTTATAAACTTTGAAGTCTGATGCTTTCACTGAGATCCCCAAATGTTTACATTTCCAAGTTGGTCAAAAGGAAAAAGTGGATCTTCTCATTGGAGAAATTAGAGATTAATTCTGATTTGCCTAAAGCTCAGGCTTTTCAGTATAAAGTAAATACAGTGAAATAAAAAACAATTGTTATCATATAGGAAAAAAAAAAAAAACTAGCAAGACACTGGCTATGAGCCTGAGGACATTTTTTTTTTTTAAATAACAAACTAGCATTTTTCTTTGAGATAATCATAAGGACTGAAATTTTTGTCACTGTGTGGGTCTCTGCTCATTACATCTTTTTAAAAAATACCTCGCCTGTCATCATAGGAGACATGAGGGTATCGGGAGTCACCTTATCATCAGTAACATCTCTTGCATCCAAATTGCTATCAACCATCCAGGGCGTCCCTGGTGGCTCAGATGGTAAAGAATCTGTCCGCAATGCGGGAGACCCAGGTTCGATCCCTGGGTCGGGAAGATTCCCCTGGAGAAGGGAATGGCTACCCACTCCAGTGTTCTTGCCTGGAGAATTCCATGAACAGAGTATTCTGGCAAGCTACAGTCCATGGGATCACAAAGTGTCAGATCAACTGACACTTTCACTTAGCGTCTATAGGAGGCAAGAAGCAGCCCCATCCTTCTCCAGGCAAGGGTGTTTTATCTGTTCTTTTCCCAGATGGCTGACTGCAGCATGGGTTTTAGGCATACCATTTACCATCTTTCATTTGTACTCTCACTAAAAGCATGGACCAGATTTTGGCCTACACTATACCTGTCTCCCTTCTCTTCACCTGATTTTATTCTATTCAAACATCTACGATCATGATGACAGAGCACACAGCCTGCATGCAGAGAAGAATCAGCTGAGTGTGCACCGGCCACTGCAAAGCCTGTCAGCTACCTGGCTCCAGGCAGCCTTTCCTTGACAGCTTTATGTCTGACACTAAAGAAGAATCAATAGGAGGCCAAAGGGTTGACATTTCATTTTCTAAAAAGTGATCCATTGAGGACCAATCACCAAGCAGTGTTTATCAGCATTGGGAAGTGACTTATTTTTTTTTAATGGGGAAGAAGGTACAGGAACCATGGCTGGGTAACTTGACAGGCTCAATTCTCTAAGGTGGGGACTCATAATTGGAAATTCGATCAATCCTGCCTTAAATAATAAAGTGTTCAATAAAAGCAGAAAGGAAATTAAGTCATCAAGCTTGTGATGCTATTTTCTATAGCTAGAGATTTTAATAAACTTGTCTTCCTGAATTACATTTTCATCTGCTTTTCCTTTTTCTTTTTTTGTCAAAGAAGAACATGGTGAAAAAAACCACACTTATAATGAGGTGAACTATTTCTAATTACTCCTGTCTGACTGCTGTATTTAGGGCAACTTAAAATGCAAAAAACAAACAAAGAAAGTCATGCTAAAGGAAATCTAGACGACAACTAGAGAATTCTCCCAACCAAAATCTTGGTTAAGACTCAAGATGAGACCTGTTGTTCAGTTGCTCAGTCGTGTCTGACTCTTTGCCACCCCCTGGACTGCAGCACGCCAGGCTTCTCTGTCCTTCACCATCTCCTGGAATTTGCTCAAACTCATGTCCATTGATTCGGTGATGCTATCCAACCATCTCATCCTCTGTCGTTCCCTTCCTACTTTCTATAAACAAGTGTTATCTCAAGCGGTTCTGAGCATTCTGGGGTGCTGAATTTCAGTTAAGTATTTTTTTGAGGTGGCAGTAATGAACGATTTTATTCCTCCTTTAGACTTTTAAACGTCTTTATTTTCCAATGATACAAGTAGTTTGTATACAATGTAAAAACTTCAAATATAGAAATATGTAATGAAAGTAAAAGGGTTTCCCTGGTGGCTTAAACAGTAAAGAATCTGCCTCTATGCTGGAGACCCAGATTCAATCCCTGGGTCAGGAAGATTTCCCAGAGAAGGGAATGGCAACCCACTCAACATCTTTATTTTCCAAGACAGAAGTTTTTATATACACTGTAAAAATTTCAAACGCAGAAATATATAATACCGGAAGCAAATGCCAATGTACTTTCTACATGCTCCTCATCCTGCTCTATCGGCCCTGCTGTCAGACGGATATAGATTAAGGTATGTAGTTTTCATGTGTTTATGAGCCTGGCACGTACAAAGTCAAATGGCAATGGACAAGAAAGAGGTCCATCTTGATTGACTTACAAAACCAAAAGCATGGGCAGGAAAGAACTCTGGGAATTTAGATTCTGATCAGGCCAAGGTAAAGCTTCCAAAGTCTAAGGTGTACTATTGTATAGAGGGCAGTGGGCATGTCTAGATGTATGTCTGTATGTGTGTAGTGTATGACGGCAATAGGACTGAATGTGGCAGATCTAACTTCCTCAAGACAAAATTCAGTGCTGTCCTCCAATAGACTTTGCATCAGAAAGAACAAACATAATGACAAATGCAGGTGCCCACACTGAATAAGGAGCTTTTCTATACTATGAGAGTGATGATGATTGAGCTCTATATTCCAGGACATTCTGGAGAGAATAGATACATGATATTAATAAATACGCATGACAACTCAAACCACCCAGGCAAACGAAGATGTATGGTCATCGTCCTAATTCTAATGTACCACAAAGTGTGAGAAAATCACGGTGGCTGGCCCAGGCCAGTGGAAATAGCCAGAGGCAGTGTTCTGCTATCAATGAGCTGGCCGACCAAAGAGGCAGAAAGAGACAGTGCCAACAGACAGTGGCCTGAGGCCAAGCATGGCTGTGCTGGTCCAGTAATAGATCTACTGCTAAAGCAACAGGGTGATTCTGGACAAGGACTGCAGTTTTCTGAGCATCAGTTTCCTTTTCTGTAACATGAAATGATTTATCATTAAGATGATCATTTTGACATCCTGGGGTCTACATTTCTTCTTAAAAGCCCCACCTTATAAAACAGTTGATGGCATAGGGAGGGTGAAGGTTGGAGAAGGGGAAGATACCCATGCGTGAGACAAAGAAGGTCTACTTGTGGACACAATTGAAGATGGGCAGCTGCCCCCCCAAGCCCCTCCCATTCTTCTGGAGGCTCCAGGCAGTGTTAAAAGTAGGTGGAGACGACAAGATAAGAAAAACCGGGTCAAAAAACAATATGCTGTCAAACTCGTTCCTGTTCTCTTTTCTAGATTGTTCTTCAAGTACCAAGTTAGACTGCAAACTCTCATAGAAAAAGTGATTGCTGTTTTAGATCCTTTTCCAAGAACAATGTCATGCTCACAAAGTGTTCAAAGGGTACTCTCTGGAAAAGTCGCTGGCTTTCCCGAAGGGAAGATGGAGCATAGTACCTGCTTTCTTGCTTTGGTTACTGTTATCATGAACCAGTATCTTGCTAAACCAGCACTTGTGTGCTGGATTATCTATTTTTGCCTATCAAAACTCTCCTGTCAATAGCTCTTAGAGACAGGTATTTTATTATCCCTATTTCACAAAAAGGAAACAAAGCCTCAGAGAGGTGAAGTAACACAGGTGACAGATGGCAGAACTCAAAGTTGAGGTCCAAGTTTTTCTATGTTTTATTTTGGCCTTTGGCCATCAGTCCAGGCTTAAGAGAGGTATAAATATAACACATTTACAGCCTAGAGAATCTAGAAAGCTCCCACTGGCCTGCTTTCAGCTTGGTTCCCTGGAACTAGCTGGGTCTTTCTAGGACTCTCTGCAGTGAGAGCTGCCACCAGGGTCCAGCCCACAGCTCCAGCAGGGGTGTAGGGAGATCAAAGCAAAGAGAAGCGAGCAAGTTGGCGATGCAAATGTAGTGTTTATGATGCTAATCAAAAGCCTCAGCTTTGTGTGGAGGAGACAAAAAGCTCCCTCAGAAAAACTGGGAAGGGGGTGGGGGCGGTGAGTGGCTTTAGTGCTTACCTCCTGCTGATGACAAAAGCTGCGATGAGAATAACCACCAGCACCACGCTGCCCGAGACGGAGACCAGCAGGACAGTGGAGTTGGCCCCGTCTCCGATGATTCTGGAAGGCACTGGCAAAGACAGTTACACAAGCATCACCTTGGGTGAGGTCCCAAGAGTTAGAACTTCTGAGTGTCATAAGTTTCGAGTCTCTGAAACCATTTGAAAGGCTCATGGCCTACTCTGCTCTTCATGAAGTATTCAGGCAACAGCATTTTCTTTCTAAGACATCCTTAATGAGACAAAAATACTCTTTTTATAATTGTATGAAAAACTTCAACCAGAAAACTCTTATGAAAACCTATGGTAAATATTTCCACTCATTCCCTTTTCTTCTTTTCCTTTCTACTCTCAGTCTAAACTCTAACTCAAGGATCTGATGAATTCCTTAGTGAGAAAGACAGTTGGAAATTTCCAAAAGGACAAGTATTTTAAAATGACCCTCTCTCCCCCTACATACACCCCAACTAGTAAAAAACCTGCCTATTATTGCCCATCTCAAAAGCCACTTCCTCCTTGAAGCCTTCTAGGATAATCTCAAAGGATGTCAAACCTCTTCAGATTTCATTCTGAATTTTCTCTTTTTTATCCTTATTTTATGTAATAATTTGTGAATAAAATCATTTTCTAGAACTGGTGTAGAGAATTCTGTCCCAGCAGCTTCTTATCTACTAGGCTCAGTTTTGGTTTGTTAATTATGAAGGAGAGTTATCTTATGTAAATTGCTTATTCATAGGTATATGCCCTCTATTAACATTTTGATTCAATCATCCAGTTGGTACAACTCACAATGTTGAAAGATTGATGTAGTTGTCTAGAGGGCCTTAAAAAAAAATAATAATAAGAAATGATCTGACTTGTTTTGAACAGATTCCTAGAAATAAACAGGAGAGGGAAAAAAAAAAAACTTGGTGCCTTCTCTAATCTTCCCAGGGAGAAAACTCCCCAGCTTAATGTAAGATAGTTATGCAAGTGTCAATTAGTCAGTTTGGCAATCCTGTATTTCACAGTTTATAGAAGGTTTAACACAAGAGAAAAAAAAGATATTTCTCAATCATGTGAAAAAACAGATCAGATACTAGTATGAAAAATGGTCTTTTCTAAATACCAAGAGGTGTTCTACGTTACAGATATTTGCTATCTAATTTTAACCAGTAGCTTCTGAAACAAAATGTTTGCCTAACCAAAAATTTTGTATAGTCTCTTAGAGTTCAACAGAATAGGATGGGCAAATCCTATTTTAGAATCTCAGAACTCATTACCTGTGTTGGTTGTGACTTCCAGGGGCTCGCTGAAATCTCCATAGCCAGCTGCTGTCCTGGCTCGGACATGGAAAACATAGGAAGTCAGAGGGTTCAGGCCTTTGATATCTGTGTTCCTGGCGGCCGTCCTGACGATTCGATAGCTTCGTTCATTCTGATCCTACATTACAAGAGGATAAGATGAAGGAAGGTGGCAAAATAAATCCTCCACTTACTCCAGACACAATATTAAAGCAGCTGAGTCAGTCCACTCAGAGGCTGAAAGTAAATGGAGATTGATGAACTCTAAACGCTATATTCGGTTCAATGTTACAAGTACTATTGCAACTTAGATGTTGAAAGAAATGTGAAGGTCAGGTATGATCGCTATTGACATTGACCATATCCAGATCTTTACCCGTATCTTTTTTTTTGCAAAGAACATTAGATGATGGTTGGTGGATTTACTCACTCCACACCCTGCAATTTAACAGAAATAACAGCTGTAAGAAGGTCCCTTTTCTCTTTTCTATTTTCCATCTAGAAAATGTCAAAAATGTTATAATCTGGTTTCAATGGGGAAAAAAAAAAAAAAAAACCCTGTCCTTTTCCTGCTTTTATTAAGGAAGCCAATAAGTGATTATCTTTAAAAAGGAAAGAGAAGACAATTGTTCATTTTCTCGACGACCTTGAATGCAGATAGCTCTCTTCAGAATTCTATCCTTTAAGAGATGAGTTATTTGTTAAAATAATGTCTTTCTATAACTTTAAGAGGCTGCAGAATGTAATTTTCTTTCCCTGATTTTCTATTAAAAGTCATCAAAATCCACACCTTGATTCTGAATAGCAGTAATCTACTTAAACAGATCATTATTTCAACTTTTATGAGTCACTCTCCCTGATAGAAGGTTTATAGATTAGACCTTGTTAGCTATCTTGACTTTCATGACTAGAAAGAAAAAATACAGTTATATTAGAACATAATGTATTTTTTCTATTTTTTAAGACTAGCAACTTAATGCATGAAATTCACAATTGGACTTGACTGGAAAGCCAAATACATTTGGCTTTGAGATTTACTAGTATTCCAGAATTTGTAACTGGCCAAAAGCTATAGAGAAAAAGAAAAGAAGGAAGGAAGGAAGAGGGAAGGAGGGTAAAAAGGAGGAGGGGTAGTAGGGAGAAAGGAGAAGAACCTTGTTCATTCAAGTAATACCTTCTCATAATACTTGACTTCATACTCCAAGATCACCCCATTGGGCCGATCTGGTTCCAGCCAAGCCAGAGCCACGCTGTATCTTGTAACTTCTTTAGCCTGGACCAAAGCAATGGATGAGGGTGCTATTGGGACCAAAAAAAAAAAAAAAAAGACAATATCTTACATTAGTGGGAAAAAACTGGTGGCACCAGTCAATGATATCATCTTATCTTTGAAAACTGTGAAGTATTGACTTACCTTCCTCCAGATCCCTATTTCCCTCATCCCCAGTTCAAACACATACCGTTTTATGGTTCGCTCTAGTATTTGGTGGGCATGTGATTTGTCTTAGAAAGACAATCTCTAAAGTAAAGTCTAATAAATCCATAGTCCTACAGTGTCACCTCTACAGGTTCTATAGCCATTCCTCAGAAAAGCTATAGTAGAGAGGATGCTGGGGTTTCCCTAGTGTCTCAGCAGTAAAGAATTTGCCTGCAATGCTGGAGATGGAAGTTGGATCCCTGAGTTAGGAAGAGACTCTGGAGAAGGAAATAGCAACCCACTCCAGTATTCTTGCCTGGGAAATCCCACTGAAAAAAGAGCCTGGTGGGCTACAGTCCACGGGGTCACAAAGAGTGGGACACGACTGAGCAACTAAACAACAATAGAGAATGTTATCTGCTTGTTTCCTTGGTGGCTCAGATGGTGAAGAATCTGCCTGCAGTGCAGGAGACCCAGGTTTGAATCCTGCGTCGGGAAGATTCCCTGGTAGCTACCCATTCCAGTATTCTTGACTGGAGAATTCCATGGACAGAGGAGCATGGCAGGCTACAATCCACAGGATTACAAAGAGTCAAATTCAACTGAGCAACTAACATGATACTGTATTGTATCTGCTTGTTTATTTTCTTGCAAGCCATAAAAGCCTTCAGAAAATCTCCTCTTAAGCTCAGAGGAACTGCATCTCATCCCACCTCCAAAGCAAGGGGTGTTGTCTTACTGATCTTTAATTTTATGCAAGCAAGAGACAGTGTAACTCTTCCAAGGGTACTGCAGGGAATGCCAGAAGGCAAATAATTTACATACTTTCCAATATAAATAAAAGTAATGCTTAATTATAGTAAAGAGTTTCCAGTTTGAACATAACCATACAAATAATGAAGAACACAAATAAAGCCACAATAGTCTCAGGACATAGATGGCATTTTCCAACTATTTTACAAGAGTTGAAATACTGCTTTTGCCTGTTGAGTAGAAAACCTTTCCACTAAGAAGGACAAAAAAGCTGTCCTCCACTGGGTGTTTTATCATAGTTGGAGAGAAAAAACAGCTTTGAGATTTATCAACCCATGCTGACTAACCCCTTGCTTCGGCACTGCGGTTGTCACATCTCCAGCCAGTGGTCATCAAGCTCTGCGGTGACTGACAATGGCACAAATATGCCATCTCCAGGGAAAAGAGGGAGCATTCACAAAATGTGAAATCTCATCTAACAAAGCTGTTCTGCAGAACTGGAGACTAGGGGGTCTTCCTGAATCAAACATATATTTTTTATTCATTCTCAAATTGTGAATATATATGAAAACAAGCTGCGCATGAACTTGGGCAAACTGTGGGAGATGGTAAGGGATAGGGAAGCCTGGGGTCCTACAGTCCATGGGGTTGCAAAGAGTTGGACACAACTTGGCGACTGAACAACAACATGAAAACAAACATCCAAAAATGACCACTGAGGAACCACAGAGCTGTGCTGGGTCATCTTCCTGCCCATCCCTAGTACATGCAACTTCCAAATCTTAACTCAGAGGGAAAAAGAGAGAGAAAGTAAAATAAATGGTCTGCAAGTAGAATGGAGCTGGCTGCAAACCCATCTCACCATATCTGACAGGTTCGCTGGTGGCAAGGGACACAACCAGACCCACCAGAGTCACATGTCACACAAGGGAATCTTCCCGCTAAAGCTCATTCAGCAGAGTACCTCTTGGAGGCGGTCACCTAACAGCCTGGCATCTCTTTTAGAAGTGTCTGGAGATGGTAGTGTGTGACACACACACACACACTCTTCCCTATTTCTTCTTCCCAATCCATTCCTAAAGCTATTCCAGATTGGATCTCAGGCATAAATACAAATGAAGCTTCGATACAGTGAACACACATGTCCTCCATCAAAGGCAACCCAAGGTTAGTAATGTCAAACTGAGTGAACAGAGTTGCATGCAGCAGACATATGAAAGCCACTGAACATCTGAAGAAAATGAAAACCGGAAATGTGCTCATTAGCTGTATTAAGGTTCCCTGCCCCAACAGACACACACAAACACACACACACACACACTCTCTCTCTCTCTCTCTCTCTCTCTCTCTCTCTCTTCCTTTACTGGTTGACACAGAGCCACTGTTCAGCGCAATGCAAGGAGTGATTTTCTTAAATGTAGAGGCAGCAAGGAGTTTAGGAAGGTTGCCTGGCTGTGAAAAGCCATTTCACTCCAGGTAATAAATATATTGCCTAACAGAGCACTTTAGCATCCATTCCATAAAAAGGGGCTCTTTCAACTCCGATGGTCAGGATGGGGAAATGAAATAGAAAAGCGAGGCTGTTAGAAAGAAAGCAGGAGGGAGGAAAATCATAAAGTTATAATGTGAACTTATGTTCAGAAATGTTCTGGGTCAGAGCCTGATAATCGACCGATTTCTCAGGAAAGAATTGCCTAGCTGCCCTTGGAGTGAGTGCACTGATTAACGAAGATGGTTTCTCTCTGGCTGGGTTATCCCTGAACTACCGCATGTGGGAAATGAACCTGATTTCCAATTCGGGAGTTGGAGCGGCAGTGTTCCTGTGCCCATTCAAAGGGAATATGAGCTCCACCGGAGCGCTCACAAAATCTCAGGCAGGCTGTTAACACTATCATCGTGTTAACTAATAGAATATTCCTAATGCAGCTCCACTTGGAGAATTCATAGGCAGAAATGTGAAAGTAAAGCGAGAGAGTGTCTGCTGACTCAGCTGTCGTAAAAATGGAGGAAGATGAGATGAAAGAGGAAAGAAGAATAAATCGTGTTAATTGACAAAAAATATGATGTTGTGGGGGCTGTAAAATCTGAATTCTTTCCAAACAGATGTTTTTCAGAAGAGCATTTTTATCAGGCCATGGTGACAAAAGCAACCCATGACCAACTAAGATTGAGAATCAGTCCTAAAACGGGAAAGCGTATAGTAATAGACAGCTTCTCCGGCAAGAAGAATATCAGTTTAGGAAAAACTGGGCTTTGCCACACCGCCACTTTGGAGAGAAGAGGCAACTTGGATGTCCTCCATGTTATAAGCCACATAAGGGTACTTTCCTCGCCTGTCCTAGCCTGCTTCCAATACAGCCTCCAACTCTACATCTGGAAGCCATCACCATGCCTCATGTGCCTGCCTGCAGCTCGTCTCCCTGGAGGAGGCATTCGGCAATGGCATTTCTCAATCATTTCCCTCCCCCAGTGGTTCTCAAGCACCAGTCTTCTCATGCCACCCATGTAATTGCTGCCATGTCCCTCCTTCTGCAACTTGGACTATGATTCAAGCAACATTTTTCTTAAAAAGACACATATTATCTCTCAAAAGACAACTTTTCACTACAGTTATCACTTGCAATTAATGGCAGGTAACCACAGAAATATAAATAATGCATCCATAACAATATGCAATAATAGTGTAATTAACACAATGTTAAAAAAAAAAAAACTACCTACCTACTCTTGCATCTCTATGCTTTGCCAAAGAAAAAGAGATTAGCCAGTGTTAGAGAAGCATTATGGGTAATCCTGACACCAATTTGGGATTTTGACCTTGGGGAAATCAGAAGAACTGAGAGAGAATTGAAAATTTTCACACAGGGAAACTCAGAATTATACAACATTCCACCTAGGTTTTCCCTAAAAATCATTTCTGATGCTACCATTGGTCAGTTTCCACAAGCTGGTAAACATGGCCAAACTCTACTCAGTTTAGAAGTGTTTCAGCTTCTGAGTCCTAAAACCTCAGAGTTCTGCCCCTTGCTACCAGAATTAGAAGAGGAGATAATAAACTAATAAAATAATACCTTGAACGCTTGTCCCAAATACCTGGTTTAATAATAGCTTTGACAAATCAACGCCTTAGTTCAAAAGAAGGCTTTCAATCACACTGGGAATTTTGGTCAACATAAAAAGACCAGGCAGAAAAAAAGGTCCTGCTTGCCTCCCAGTGGGCCAATTTACATTCCCAAACCTTAGGAAGGAAGGCAGACTTGGCTCTTCCTCCATACTGACTCACCCACTGAGCACAAACTTAAGGAGCACCAATGAAACAAGGCAAAGATGGAAAAGGGCAAACAAAGCCAAATTAAATACAATCTTTGGTATCCAATTAAGTGCTACCTTATCCTTCTTAACTGAAAAAAAAAAATGATGGAGAATTTTGTAATAGTCTTACAGAGAAGACAGGCTTCCCCAGTGGTTCAGCTATAAAGAATCCGCCTGCAATGCAGGAGATGCAGGTTCGATCCCTGGGTCAGAGGAGGAAATGTCAATTGACTCCAATATTGCTGCCTGGGAAACCCCATGGACAGAGGATCCTGCTGGGTTACAGTCCATGGGGTCGCAGAGAGTCGGACACAAATGAATATGCAGACATACACACGCAGAAGGCACTCTTTATTGTCAACCTAGAGAGTCCGTTTTCTAGAACTGAAGAGTGTTCCTGCTAACATTCTTATCCAAGTTTCCTCATGGCAATGGGGAGAAGCAAGAGTCGGGGGCTTCCTCATCATACCATGTCCTCAGACATGCCATACACCTGCAGAAGAGTAAGAAGCTGGGAGGAAGCTGAGGGCTGATGTAAGCAGGCTCATTAGAAGAAAAAGGCACGTCTTAGACTAAAAGCATTCCTCTCTACCCACAGACTTCCTTCATATAAAAGATGTTTGCTTTAAGGAAACTCCTGTGCCTCTGGACATAAGCAAGCTTCCTTTAACCGCTAATATTTTGACACAGCACACAACCAGAAGAGCTGGTCATGCTGGTTGACAGTAGTGTAGTTAGAGAATAATGACAGATGGAGGCAAAAATCACAAAGGCAAGAACTCCTAAAGAGTAGTTTCTAAAGAAAGATTTGTGGTCT